CAGGAATAATGCTGTTTCTCCCATAAACCAGCTCCTCTTGACGTTGAGATTCTACGCTACTGGCAGCCACTTAATATCAGCAGGTGATTTTTCTGGAGTCAGTAAAACGAGTGCTCACAGAATTATCCATCGCGTAACAAATGCTATTACTCGTCTTCGGGCAAGGTTTATAAAATTTCCTACTCTTGCTGATGAAAGAAAAGCTGAGCAAATAAAGTTCTTTGACATTGCACGATTTCCAAGAGTTGTGGGATGCATCGAGTGCACTCATGTGAAAATCCAGTCATTTGGTAATTAACGTTTGTATATCATTGATATTTAAAAGTAAACTGCATATTAACTTTATAGCTGTTATAGAAGTGTAATAATCAGTGTAATTATTTTCAGGTGGAAATGATGCAGAATATTTCAGAAATCGAAAAGGTTACTTTTCAATTAATGTCCAAGCAATTTGTAACTCCAACTTGGAAATAACGGACCTTGTAGCTCGTTGGCAAGGATCAGTGCACGACACCACTATTTTTAATAATTCTAGGATACGTGCTCTGTTTGAGGCTAGAATAGAACATTTGGAGATGCATTACTCTTAGGTGATGGTGGTTATCCTGTTCGGTCCTATTTTATGACCCCCCTGGGCAATACGCAAACTCGTGCACAGGAACTCTATAACGAGTCGCAAATAAGAACACGCAATACCATTGAACGCGTGTTTGGAATATGGAAGAGACGGTTTCCAATTTTGGCATTGGGTTCTCGATTTTCTAAAGTCGAAAGAGTACTACCAGTTATTGTAGCAACTGCCATATTACATAACATTGCCCGGCGTGCTGGAGATCCATTACCACCAGATGATCCTGCAGTACAATTACTTATGCCGTGGGAAGAAATTTTGGAACAAGGAAATGTACCGCTTATAAATAATGCACCGGGTAATGAGCATATGCGGAACATATTAATCAACGATTATTTCCGCAGGTAAGAATAAACATGTCTGAGACAAATTATTTATGTATTTTTCTTATATAAAGTAATATATAAGTATGGTATTATTTTTCAGCTTGCTGTAGAGTAAAGAATTCGTCTGTGGAACAATCTGAAGAATATACTGGACTATCTTTCATATGTTGAAGCAAAGAGAGCTATAGGAACATCGTCGAAAGAAAATCAAAATCCTGCCATTTTGACTGTAAAACGGACGGGAAAACAGACAAGGATACCTGCAATAAGCGCTGTAAGACGCAACCAATGTTTTTATGATTTATTTTACACTTCTTTCCGTTTATTAATTTTATTTTTGGCTTATTGTTCTTCTTTTTCAATAGATTTTACATTCCAATAATCTTACTGCAAGCTACATTCAATGTAACAATGGAATCTCATGTGTAAGCTAGAACTGTAGTACACAAGTGCGATATCGATAATATGCTTCGATGTTCCTTCTCTACATAATTCTTTCGAGATCGTTCGTCGAACGGATATCCATCTCAACGTTGTTAAAGAATACAGGGTGCTTCAAGAAATGNTATACTAAAACTTTCAATATTTTGTTTTCCCACAAAGAATTTAAAAACTTTTCTTCTCACAAATATATTTTGTTTTTTGTTTTTTTGTTATTTATGTTGTTTTTTTTGCAATGTATATGATTCGATTTGATTTTTCAAAAGTTCAACTTCTAGTTGTTCTTTTTTTAGTTGTGTTTGTAAAATATCTATTTCTATTTTAGATCTTGCACGGAGATCTTCTTTCATTAACTCGACTAACTCAGCTTTAGATTGAGCTAAATCGTAAAAACATTGGTTGCGTCTTACAGCGCTTATTGCAGGTATTNTTGTCTGTTTTCCCCGCTTTACAGTCTTTTTTTTTACAGTCGAAATTGCAGGAGTTTGATTTTCTTTNGACGATGTTCCTGTCTCTATTTCAGCATATGAAAAACGATCCGAGTCTGGAGCTTCTTCATCGTCGTATGCCGGAACTTGTAATTCAGCACTTTTCTTTGAACGCAAAGTTGCCGGAGTCCAGTCATCTAGGTCATTTAAGTTTATAACAATTAAAGTTTCGATTTTTTCAGATGTTTGAGATCTTTTCGATCAATTAAATGCAAAAGGCACTTATACATTATACAATCTATATATTCTCAAAGCATATGAAATATACCTCTTACATGATCGCTATCAAATGGATTCTTTAAACCATCGACCGATGGTTGAATAATAGATTTGACTCTTTCGGCTATTGGATCATCAGAGACAGTCATCTTTCCGCCGCCTATACGTCAATTATTAATTACTAATTATTACTATACATGTATGTATTTACGAACATATACTGACATATAAATATATAATAAACAATATACAATCAACAAACTTAATTATATGCAATACCTGTTGCAAAAACTTGTTTGCGTA